CTCAAAATAAAACAATCAATCTAAAAAATAAAGTTTTGCACTTACTTTGATTGTTCGAACTCCAAACTTTGAGACACTTCAATCCAATGAAATGTAGTTTTCTGGAGGTTTCTTTCTCTTTAAAAGGGGCTCTTGTGGGGTTTAGGTTTCAAATGAACCTAAAACCCCTCCTTCTAACCTTTTATATCTTAAAAAAATTAAAACAAAAAACAAAAAAAAAACATTTCCCCCTCTGGGCGATGTGCCCAAGCCTTCTGGACTGCCAAGCGGTCGCCTAGGCACTGGGCGGTCCGTTTTTTTGAACAATGATCCACATTATTAATTTAGGAAAAATATGATGTAACATCTTTCTTTTCTTGATTGGTATCTTGATTTAATGAAGAATGAGAATATCATGTACAAAATTGTAACAATTGTCAAGGTTAACTCAAGCTATACAAAAAGTTACAAAAAATTGGCCTATAACGAGGAATGCACTACAAACAACTCTTGCCTATGTGTTCCTCTTTTGCTAGTGAGACAGCTAAGCTCTATGCTACTTTCCAAGTACACACAAAACTTACTTGAATATCCATACATTTTTCAAAAGTCCCATCAAGATAGTGAGCCAATCTTTGTCTGATTATGAAGTGCCAACCAAACAATAGTAGCCCCAATGGCCCAGATACAATCTTGTCTGATCTAACAAATGGATATGGGCAAAGTTTTGTTCTATATATCTGGTTGACCTGAACTTTGTAAGAACACATGAGCCTGACTAAGTTCACCAAAAAAAAAAAAAAAAAATTGAAAAAGCTAAATTGACAAAAATTCCCTTGCTACACTCATTGATAGGGTCGAGCGCATTTTTGGTGTTCCTTGATGTAGCACACATCCCTAAAGTTGAGATCCATTGGATTTATAAAAGTAAAATTAACATTCAAACATAGAGGCCCCATGCTGGCTGTCATATCAACCCATATTCAATTTGGGCTGTTGTGCTAGTTATGTTTCAAAAGTTATTCACGCTATATGTTTATTTTATTTATACTAGTGAGAAAAGCAAGGACTCATATTAAAACTAGCTAGGGTCTTGGATCCATGTCTAGTCTGACAGACTTGGCTGAGTTTGTTAGTGACTTGGTTGAGGTTGAACAATAAAATAATAAATCATTGGGAATGTCCGTACTGGCTAGTTCCCATATGTTTGGTTTCAAGCTTGGTATGGTATCGAGCCTAAGTGACTTGGGCTAGTCTGAGTGGACTTTCCCGAGTTGTCCAACACACACGCGCACACACACACATATACACTTATTCTAGAATACCATCCTAATGGTTATTTTATAAACTTCTACTCCAAAATATTTGACAATAAGTTGCTTTATATGAGCTAAAATTACCCATATATTTTCCTTATCAAATCAGAGGAGGGCATGATGTGTAATTGTGAATGCTCCAAAAGTTCAAATTTCAAAATAAAAATTGATTTTTTTTACATTTCGGATTTAATTGAAATTTTGACGGTGTGTATGCCTTAATAAGGCACACCTAAAAGGCTGCAAAAGAATAATTCAAACAGTAAATATGACCCAAATAGCCCTACAATTATTTTAGGGGTATTTTGGTCATTTTTGTTTTGATGATTCTTTCTTTTGTAAATTTGTTTTTTGGTGGATGATGCTGTGATGTACTCATGCCCCAAATTTTAGATGAATTTGATCTACAGAACTAAAAATACAAATCCACAGTCCCAACTATCCATTGAGAGGGTTTTGAAAATTTGAACTTTGGGATTATTTACAATTATGGAGTAAAGGTTTCTTAATCCCTATTAGAATGGTGTTATATATATATATATATATATGGAAAAAGCTTGGGTGAGCCCACTAGCTCATGAAATAGTATGAGCCCAACGGCCCTGATTGAATCTGGGCCGATCTGACAAACACATATGTCTGGTAGTGTTTGAATTTTAATTTTTTTTTCTACAAATTCAAATCACTTGAAATTTTAGACGTGTGTTCTTCTCATCAAGCCGCACCTAATAAAAATATATAAAAAAATAATTTACAAAAAGACCAAAATACCTCAAAACTTTTCGAGGGTATTTTGGTCAATTTATTTAATGTAAAATATTTTTTTTAATATTTTTTGAAGATTCACCTATTTTTTATGTACACGAATTTCAAGTGATTTGGATTTGTAGAAAAAAAATTAAAATTCAAACACTATTGGACATACTTGATCGTCAGATCGGCTTAGATTCAATCTGGACCGTTGGGCTCATTTTTTCCTGTGAGCTAGTGGGCTCACCCTAGCATCTTCCTATATATAT